AAACCAACATCTTGCTCTTCTTATCTGGTTATCAGTAAGAAGAACACTATCTTTGAAGTGGATCCCTGTTTCCGCCTTGTCTATCCAATAATCAATTCGTACAATCCTTAAATTCTGCACCCAACATCAACCTACATGAGAAAACACAAATAATAAACCTCATCACAGCAACTCATTTTGTGCATACTACCAATAACACATCAGGATGGATGCTAACTACACACTAATGACAGACATGATCGATAATTTTCCAGTGTGTGATAGATGCATTCTCCCTCCATTTGTTCACGCAAAAGTATGTAAGTATACATAATTAGCTAGCACTTATAACATCCTCCTCTGATCTGCTATACTTAACGCTCACACAGAGCTTAACCATGTGCCAACTTTCTGCTATCTAACAGTGAGAACGCAGAGTAAAATCCAATAAATCAATGCTCTGTGATCCTTGAAAAGCAATATCTTTATGAGACAAACCCAAGCAGGAGATTGCATCAAAAAATAGTAAAGAATCCAAACTATCTAGATAGAGAACTTAAGTCGCGAAAGAAAGAAAATAACCTGCTTGTCCTCTCCAGAAGAAAGAAACCCATTATCAGAAACGGGCTGCTCGTGCTGTTCATTGTCAGTTTTGAAAGGTTTACAGCAATTAATTAGTAAATTTGGGACCAGTTCCTTTTCTAACGTAGACAAATAAACCGACGCTGCAGCATCTGCAGCCGAGCTAGGAGAAAATGCCGAGCCCCATCTCTTTTCATTCTCCACTTGTTGCTGATGATGCGGATAATACTCAAAGTCCGCCGGCTCGCCATCAACCAGGACATTTTCGATGCCTACATTCTCTGCGTGCAGGCCAACAATCCCTATCTCGGGCACCGCAATTTCCAATTCAGTGTACCTGTAAATCCCAGAGTCAAAACCTCCCCTCAATACCGCTAAAAAATACTCCATCGCACGCTTTAAACCAATGAAACCTAATTTGCGACCTTCCCGCAGGGAAAACACCAATTTCGTGCCAGTATACCTAGAAATGCAAACTAAGCGAAAGAGGGAATGCAATGAAACACGAAATGTGAGAGACGAACCCGTAGATAAGACGCTTGTCCACGTCGATGGAGAGGCAGAGCTTTTGATGGTGAACTACAGCACCAGAATTTTCGGGCTTGGGATCTTCGTTCTTCGGCCTGCGAGGCTTCGCCATTAGAAAACAGAGCTGGAGAACAAGCAAAACCCAGGTCCTACACCCTCTTTCGCTGTGAGCGGGTAAGGTGACGCCCTCTTTATAGACGGCCTCCCCAGCAGGCGACTTTGGATCGCCAGGTGGAGTGACGATGTGCCCCACGTTGTCGTCCAATCCTCTGCCGTACATTAATATCACCAGTTTTAATCGGACTACGGAGAGCTCACCAAATAACACTAAAAAAATGTGGATGTCAGGGTAAATAATTTTTTGAGTACAATTTTACTCATAATTTTATTTTTTTTATATGTATTAAATAAATTTACACTTTTACGCTATCTAATACTACTATAATTTTAGTGTTAATAAAAATAATATCTCACTCTCTTTATCTCTAGCCAAAGCCTCCCCATACAATCTCCCTCTTGTTTTTTTTTCCGTCTGCAGATGCGCCCTTCGTATCACCTTTTCTCTTTCTTTCCATTGCAGTTTCTTTGTCTCTCATAAATCAGTTCTGAAATTTACTGAAATATTAAAGTAAAATCATTTTGAACGAGTTATATGCAAATTTAAACCAGTTTCAAGCTTGAGTGATTTTAAGTGCAGCATTTGGATAAACATTTTTTACCTTATAGTATTTCAGTAATTTTTTTTTTACTATATAGCATTTGAATAAAAATGCCTTCCTTTTCCTTGGTGTTAGGACTTGTATCTCAATTAGTGTTCAGCTTTGTCCCTCTGTCGCCGTCTAATTTGGTTCACAAGGACAATCCTTTTTTCTTAATCTATTGTGTCATAGGGTGTCATGCGTCTAAAGCGATTTAAAAGGGTGATGGATGTGGCCAAGTATTGTGGGCTTAAAAAAGTCATTGGCACAAGATCAACGGTGGCACCCTTGAAATTGATATCTTATGCATTTAAGTGCTCAATCTGTTTGAATCCTTATTGTCACCTAATTCTCTCCCTCTTTGGTAAGTTTTATGCTAACCAAAGAGATGTGGCTTGAATTATAGTGGGCGACGAATAATTGGGATTGGAGATGCAAAATGAGGGATGCTCAAGTTTGGAAATGCGAGCCCAGTGTGTGGTAAAGATAATGTAGATTGAAAAAGAGTGATTGAGTTAGTTTTCTTTTAAATCTTGATATTATAATTATATTATTGTAACTAAAATGGTTTTTTTCCCATAATAACTAGAATGATCTGTTTTATTATTACTTATAATTGCAAAAAACCATAGGTTTAATAAAAAATGAGGATGAAATGTTTTAGATCTCCTTACCTTTTAAAAATTAAATGGATAATTAAACTTTAACATTGTGTTTGGCACAGCTTCTCCTCCCCTCGTTTAGTTGGTGTATTTTTTAAAAAGGGGAGGGGAGCTGCTCCTTCCCTTTATTTAGTTGGTATACTGTTTAAAGAAGAGAGGAGCTATCATTCCTTCCTTTATGCTGTGTTTGGCTCGATGGAGGAAAGGGAATGAGAAAGATTTTAATCAAGAGAAGGGGAGGGTAGCTACAAAGGGGAGGGGAGGGAGGGGAGAAATTTTAATGATCTCTTGTTTAGATTGATTGGAGGGGAGAGAAGGGAGCGATTTTAATGATACCTTATTTTGTTCTAATAAAAAATTGACTATTTTAACCTCATAAAATTTAAATGAATTTTCTCATTTTTTATTTTATCAAGCTATAACTATATATATAATGCAATTAACTAATTTTGACTTACAAGACATAGTCACACACTTATAGGATATTAAGATAAAAAGTCATGAGTGGTATATTTCATTTAGAGAAAAGACCTTGAAGGTGAAAGAAAATACCGACAGCCTCTTGGAATTAGAAGAAGAGGAAAAAAAAAAAAAGGTTCACAAATGTTGACTAATTTTAGAGACAATTATCTTAACAACCTATTGCTAGATGTTCAAAAGAACTTTCTTATGTAGAAATGTTTACGGCTGATTACGGGTTAACAAATTGAGAGGGTATATGAGGAATTAAAGTATTTTAGTTAGGCTAATTTTGAAATTTAAAATTTTATCTCTCATCTTCCCTCCAACAAACCCCACTTTCAGAGGGGAGGTTAGAATGAAAGAGGAGGGGAGAAGAGCCCCTCCCCTCTTTAAAAAATATCTTAACCAAACAAAAGGAGGGGAGCAATTCCTCTTCCTTCATAAAAAATTACACCAGCCAAATAAAAAGAAGGGAGCAACTCCCCTCCCTTCCAAAAACCCCGTACCAAACATAGTGTTAGGGTCTCTTTAGTTAGAGGGGAGGGGAGGGGAGGGGAGATGAGCTCCTCCCCTCGTTTGGTTAAAAGTTTTTAAGGGGAGGGAAACCAAAATGTCCCCTCCCCCAATTTTAGCTCCCTCAAATTGGGAGTTTTTGGAGTGAAGCTAAAATTTTGGACCATCATACTCTTATGGTTTTTTTAATATTCCACTACTATCCATAAAATGTATTATTATAATATTTATTTTAGATAAAAAATATATTATCCTAAGTAAAAAATAAAATATAAATTATTATCATTAAAAAATATATTATAATAAAAAAATAATTAAAAATAAAAAATCATAATATTATAAAATTGATTTTTTATAAATATATTTTAAATCTGAAAAAAAGATAGCATAAAGAGAATAAAATTTTATTTTTCTTAAAGTATATAAAATTTGTTAATTTAATTATTTCAAATATATTATTATATTAATTAGAATAAAAAATTATTGTACCAATTTTTTAATGCACATATTAATATGATAAGAATGAATTTTCATTAAATTATATAATTTAAATTAAGATGTAAACTAATTTATATAATATATCAATAAAAAATATAACTTAATATGTAAGGTTAAAATGGTAAATTGATTATTATTATCCCTCTCCTCTCTTTCTTGAACCAAACAAGAAATCATTAAATATCCTTCTTTCCTTTCTTTTTTCATCAAACTAAACAAGGTGAGGATAAAACCCCCCTCCCCTCAAGCCAAACAGGTCTTTAACTAAGGTTTTTTATAAAGAAGATAAAAGATAAAATTTTATATTTTAAAATTAACCTGAATAAAATATTTTTATTCTTTTCTTATCCTTTTGATTTTTCAACGTCTTCTTAATTTTTCAATACCCTAATCTACCGTGTGCCAACATCCCAACCCCCATCACACAATTAGGATCAACCGATCATCATCTTCTGAAATTCAAAACTGGTACGTATTCTTTTATGTGGTCAATCGATGATCATGTTAATTTCTTATTGATGAGTGAATGTGCGTGACAGTGGTGTGAGTTACTTGTGACGGTGCATTGTGCCTTTTTCATGCAGGATTTGTTTTCTCTCTCTCTCTTTTATTAAACCAAACAAAGTATTATTAACATTTCTCATCTCTCCTTCTTTTTATTAAAAGTTCCTTCCCCCTCCGTCAAGCCAAACACACTATAGAGGATAATTGAACTGTAATAATAAAAATGAAATAATAATTTTCATTGAGAAAAAATCCATATTTTCCTTTTGTTAACATTTTAACCGTATGTATTACTAAAATAATTAGTTTTAATTATATTTTTGTAAAATTAATACACTATAATTAAACAAACAATAATCAAATAATTTTTCTCTGTTAAATATTTGTAATTTTATTTTTCAATCTCATCAAATAAACTTATTTTCTGAATCCTTGTTACAAATTTGTATTTTTTCAGTTTTCTTAAAGTAAAATAAACTGAAAACCGAAAGATTATTTTTTTTGGATCACCAAGGGATCCGGTGAAGGCCCCTCTCAAGAAAAAGGGGGCATTTGAAGACCCCACCGCCATCCCCCTTCCTTCTGTTGTCAGTGGGCGTAAGTGTGCGAGAGTTTCGCCGATCGTATTTTGTCCTCGCTGCTGTCCGCTTTTTGTTGTTCCAAGTTTATTCTTCCTCTGTTTTCGATTGTAGTTGCGGTGCTGAGATCGTTGGAGCTTTCTTCTTCTCCTTCTTCTGTTTTCGATTGTAATGAGATTTAGCATGACGCACACAGCCACACACACACACAGTGACGACAAGGACAGGAGAAGAGGTGAAACTCAAGTGCACAATCGGCTGGCTCTTGGGAGGACTGGGGGCGGTGCAATCCAACTCCTCCTTCCAAAGATCTGGTACTGCCTCTCTCACTCTCTTTGTGACGCGATCTCTCTCTCTTTCTCATTGTGCGACTTTTAGCGCACTGTTTTTCTGAGTTTGGATCGAACCCAGCAGTTCTGATACTATGTTTTTATTGATGAATGATTCACTCTCTTGTGTATTATTGATGAAGAATAGGTATAATATATAGGCAGCTGGTTATCCCATAAAGAAGGGAATAATCCGGTGATTACAATCATCATAAATAAGCTAGAATCAGGCAAGATAATTAGGAATGTAAGAAAGGAAGTAATTCGTTGAAATCTAATCAAGGCTAACAATGAGGAGAGGATCAAGGGCTTTATTTCTAACAATTAGTGTGTACATTCATGTTTTGACTTGAGTGAGCGGTATTGAATTTGGTGCATGTGAATTTGATGTTAACAAAGTTTCAACACAATCATTGTTACTGAACTTCACGAGTCTGAGTGTTTTTGAGCATGGAAATTCATTTAAGGCCATTTAATTTACAAACTCTAGCATTGATTGAGGTGGTGCGTTGAATTGTGCATAGTCATATCCTATTAAACTTGATAGGAAAACTCTGTTACTTCAAAGTGAGTTTAGTGCATACCAATGATTTTACTATAAATTGTTGTCAATACTAGTGCCTTGACTTAAGTTGAGCTAATCTCTAGCTTCTGAAGTATTGTTGTGGAATCTAAGAAAATTTTGGCTGTGTTTGCTCTGGATCTAGTCATTAATCACTTGCTAAATCTCTAGTCACTTCTGACTTTGCATTGGTATGTGTGTGTAGGAAAAGATTGATCTTAAAGAATGATTATTGGGAGGAACATGAATTTTGTGTGTGTATATATTTGTAACTAATGAATGCCGTTTGAAAGTCAATTAATAGTAAGCATTTTGCTGTTGTATGGGATGTTGAAGTAAAAAGTTTATTTATATAAACACCAAATCCTCCATGCAGGTCAGAAAATGAGAGATCAGTAGTTGGATAGAATTTGGCTCCAATATGAAAAATGCATAGGCACTGGAAAATTGACCTCAATTTGAGATCCCAATTCTGGTTGTGGAATTTCTACCGCCTAAGCAATGTCGGAGCTATGGAGCAGCATAGAAAGAAGATGCTTGTACCTTCTCCAAGAGAACAACTCCATGGCCTCTCTCCTTCAAATCCACGCCTTCATGCTTCGAAACGCTCTCAACTACAATGTCAATCTCCTCACCAAGTTTATCTCAAGCTTATCCTCCCTTGCCCTTGCTGCTTCATCCTTACAAGACAACCCTATTGGTATTACCCGACACGCTCATCGCGTGTTTGATCAAAGGCCTCACAAGGGCGATGCATTCTTATGTAATTCCATGATGAGGGCTTATTTAGCTGGGCACCAGTGCATTGAGTCTTTGACTCTATATAGAGATCTTAGGAGGGAAACAGGTTTTAATCCCGATAAGTATACGTTCACCATTCTAGCCAAGTGTTGTACAATGAACATGGCCATTACAGAAGGTGAGGAGATACATGGTGGTGTTGTGAAATCAGGGATTTTTTTGAATTTGCATGTATCCACAGCTCTGGTTGACATGTATGCTAAGTTTGGTTTTATGGGTAGTGCGTGCAAGGTGTTCAATGAAATGGCTGAGAGAAGTCAAGTGTCATGGACAGCTCTTGTTGTTGGGTATGCGAGGTGTGGAGATATGAACAAAGCGAGAAAGCTTTTTGAACAGATGTCTGAAAAAGATAGTGCTGCATTTAATGCAATGATTGATGGTTATGTGAAGTTAGGGATTATGGGTTTGGCTCAGGATTTGTTTGACAAAATGCCCAATAAAAATGTGATTTCTTGGACTAGTATGATTTCTGGGTATTGCCATGACGGTGACGTTGAATATGCTAGGTTGATGTTTGATAATATGCCCGAGAAGAACTTGTTCAGTTGGAATGCAATGATAGGCGGATACTGCCAAAATAAACAACCCAATAAAGCTTTGGAATTGTTTTATGAAATGCAGAGAAGTGAATCTGCGGAACCAAATGAAATAACAGTTTCAAGTATTCTTGGTGGTATAGCTGATTTGGGTGCTTTAGATTTGGGGATTTGGGTTCACAATTTTTCCCAGAGGAAAGGGCTTGACAAATCTGGTCGTGTATGCACTGCACTAGTCGATATGTATGCAAAATGTGGTGAAATTACAAAGGCAAAATTGGTTTTTGATAAAATCATTGAAAGAGGAGTTGCCTCCTGGAATGCTTTAATAACTGGTTTTGCAGCCAATGGTAGGGCAAAAGAGGCTTTGAAAGCCTTTGCAGGGATGATAAAGGAAGGGCTAAAGCCAAATGAGATAACTATGATTGGTGTATTATCTGCTTGCAACCACTGTGGCCTGGTTGAGGAAGGAAAAAGATGGTTCCAAGCCATAGAGAAATTCAGCCTTACTCCACAGATTGAGCACTATGGCTGTATGGTTGATCTTTTAGGAAGGGCTGGATGCTTAGATGAGGCTGAGAAAATTATCAAGAACATGCCTTACAATGCTAATGGGATAATACTAAGTTCTTTTCTATTTGCATGTGGGTGCCACAAAGATGTCGCAAGGGGGGAGAGAGTACTCAAAGAGGTAGTAAAAATGGATCAGTTGAGTGGCGGAGACTATGTGATGTTAAGAAATATGTATGCAACAGAGCAAAGGTGGATTGATATGGAAGATGTTAAATACATGATGAAGAATAGTGGATCAAACAAAGAGGTCGGTTGCAGCGTTATTGGAGTTAACTCTGGCTTTGCAGAGTTTGTCGCTGGTGATTGCTTGCATCCTCATCAAGAAATTATTCACTTAACATTGGGGCAGTTATGGAAGCACATGAAGGTGGATATGATCTATTGATCCGGTAATAAGCAGAGAAAGATGAAGAGAAAAAAAAAAAAAACAGAAATGAGAATTAGAGGATATACAAGAGCATATATTTAATTTTGTAATATCCTGTTCAAAATTACCATATTTAGACCTTTAGGGCCTCATAATGCAAGCAAAAAAGTTTCTAACTTGAGCTGGTTTCCTTATCAATCTTGTGAAGCATGATGCTCTTTGCTCTTTGGCTCGTGAAGAATGCCAAACTTCTCATGTATTTCTATCTCTTGATCTCAGTGAGGAGATGGTTACTTCTCATGCATAATCCTAGCCATTGTCTCTTTGTTGCTTTCAAGTCTTAGGATGTGTTTGGAATAGCTTTTCAGAAGTGATTTTATGGAGTTTGGGTTAAGCTTAGGAGAGGAGTTTTGTCTTGACTTGCATGAAAGCACTTTTTTTAAGTGATTATGAGGGTTCCTAAACACCCCTTTAGCCAAGCTTATGTTTTGTTTGTTCAAGTAAACACTAAACACTAAAACTTTCCTCCTCCCTATAACAGATGAGATTATTGCTTCTCTTTTCCAGGCTTTTAAAGAGAGAGAAATTGGTGATTTCACTTAATCAATGAATGGTGAATTGGTGAACTTGATTTATGCTTGGATTCTGTTTATCAAGATCACGCACAGTGTTTGATAAGGTGCTTGACCATAAGATGAGCTATAATTGAATTGGCAGCTAGCCATTATAATAACAACTTTTGATTGATTTTAATTTGTCATTCAATTTCCATATTAAGTATGAAAGCGTTAGAGATGTGGTCTTGAAGCTTTTTTTGGAGTTGTTATCCGATATTCAAGATATTTAAATTAGACTATGTTGCAGAAAGGTTACAAGTATTGAATTGAGATGCCATCCTTTATATTTAAATTTAAATGTGAGAGCAGTGCATATGTTGAATGAATTAGATTGTTTTCGAATGTCATACTTGCTTACAAATGTTGGGTGCATGTGCAACTTTTCCGTTGAAGAATGATGACATTGGAATGATGAATTAGACCTTCCTGATTTGGATAAGTGACATTGGAATGATGAATTACGGAATGTAATTGATGTAAAGATAATTGAAGTGAAAGTTTAAGCTATGTTGAGTTTTCTGTTGATTATGAAAAAGAATTTTTATTTCTTCTTTTTAATGCATTGCTGAATGAGTGTTAAGGGAAGCATGACATACCAGTTGCATTAGTGTTAGATTATTCTTCCTTTGGTGAAAATTCAAGGCTAGACATGAAATACTGTGATTAATATTGGCCAATCAGAGTATAATGGTTTCTATGAGATTGTAAATGGACTAGTAACAGTCCTTCCGTTTGGTGTGAGGACATTCCAACGGAAAATACTTGTCTAAATGGTTGCTAAGGAGGGTAAAAAGAACCATTGTGTTACCTAGCCAATGAATGAATATCATCCCACTGTGATTCATGAATTATATTTTTTATCTGATTAATATTTTATTGCCAGATGACGAATTCACTTTGACTTGAAAGAATCCTGCTGTATTGAAGAATTGTCAAGTGCTGTGATAAAAAATTGAGATTTTATTTTATCTGTTTTATATAACAAGTACACGTTTGGAGTTATTGAGAGGAATTCTAAAGTTTTATACATGGATTTTTAAGTTAACTCATTTACAATGAAAATTATATGGTGAATATTATGATTCCAGACATGATTGAAAATCACCACTAAAGGTCTAGGTTGTTTCTCTTCTCTAGTTTCTACTTCCCAGATGGAATATAATGTGTGCACCCGTTCTGTGACTAATGATTTATTCATTTGATTTAATCTTTTCTTCTCTTAGCTTTATTGTTTGACTTTGATTTCATTCCTCACGTATTTCACCTTCCAACACCACATATTTTAAACGTCTACTTTGGAACAATCCGTCTTAGTCTCTGTGTGTTTTTTTTGTTTTTTTTGGAGGGGTTAAAAAAGTCGAGACTAAGCAGAATATTGGTCTTTCCTATTTGGCAGTTGCCCAGGTGGCTGATCTTACTGTTGACATAATTCTGACAAACAAATTTCTGCTACTTATGAATTAATTCCTGCTCAAACACACACATAGAGTGGCAAAAGCCTTTTTGAATCTTTTCATCTATGGTGGCAGAAGAAACATAGTTTTGTGCCCCGGTGGGCATAAATAGTAACAGTAGACAATCACTACCTAACATCCATGCAAAGAAAAAAAAAAAAAAAAAAGAGAGAATCGGCTGACTATGGGAGCCAAAAAATAGACATTTGCTTGCTTCAAGGTTTGTCAATGTGTGTTTTGGGATTTCATGAAGACAGCAAACGATGCTAATTACACAATGCCAAAATATATGTTGCAGAAAGAAACTGAAAACACACCTGATGATGGCTGAAAAATATGTTAGGAATTTTTAGTTATTTATTTACGTAATTGAAAGGTTAAACAGTGGCAATGAAGTGAAGGCCGATGTGTCAGAATAGTCCAGTTGGCAATAGTTTGATCTGGAAATATGATACTAATTGCTCAATGCCAAAATATATGTTTCTCAATGGAAAAAAGTTGATCTGAATTTAAACCTTTTCTTACTTGGTTTGTATGTCAGCAATTCACAGGCGAAAAAGTGAACCAGATAATGGCAACTTGAGAAGTGTTGAAGAAAAGATAAGAACTGGCAATCTCCACCACGATCCTACCATAAACCCTGGCCTTGGTTCCTCTCTCTGTCCTTGCTGTCTCTCGCTTTTAAACCCTATTTCTGTATGTCTATTATTCTTTTTGCGAAATTCTGATGAATTTACTTGGTCAAAAATTCCTGTTGACTGTCAATGTGATCATGTAGATTCAGGAAAAAAGCTGAATGGACAATCACTTCTGTCTTACATGATGCCACTGCTGTGGTGAGCAAAGGATGTAAGACTTGGGTTTTCTTCTATTATTTGTTAAAATAAAGTAGAAATCTTAAATTCTGAATTTTTTTTTTAAGGTTAAGATACAAATTTGCCCCAGAAGTTTTTTTTGTTTTTGGTTGTCCTGGAAGTGTTAAAATGGAGCAATGTTGGCCTATAGTGTTTAACGATTAGTTTCAATATTTTTTCAACAGGGTGGGGCAATATTGCTATGTTCTGAAACTTCTGGGGCAACATTTATCATGGAGTGTTTTGTAATTGTATGAACAATGTGGTATGCTTAGTGCAGTTCATGGTTTTAACACAGGTATTGCCGGTTCTGTTCCCCTCTACTTTATTATAGACATCCTTTATTGCTGACATTGCTTATTAACCTCTGACTGCGGGGATCCCATACCTACAAAATCGTCTTAAGGGTCCAAAGTGGCTTCCTTTCATCGTTGGGGTATGCACGCTTTATTTTACTTTGTTTCCTTTACAAATATTGAGCTTCAGTGGCCTTGCACTACCGTTGATGCCTATAATGGTATCATTGAACTTCTAGTCATCTTTAGTTCTTTGCGCTCAGCACGGTACATTTTTCATGTTTCTTGTTCACATTCTTTAGCTAACTCATATTGTTCCTCCTTTGTTCACAGCTCCCTCCATTGCTCATATTTTCTGGTGCAAGTGCTGCATTTGAAGGTAAAAGCTTGTACCTGCCTGTTTGTTGGGTTTAATTTCTAACACCTATTACAGGTTACAGACATTAACTATTAGCCCGAGATATTGATACCTAGAAATCATGCAGAAAATGACAAATGATTTCTTCTCAGATGGATCCTGAGGAATGTCACTACCTTATGGTCTTTAGAACCCTGACACCATTTCTCTCACAACAAAAAAAAAAAAGGGCCTTTCTACACATTTGTTAGTTTTGTTTATTATCCATTTTAGATCAACCTTCATCGTTTGTTTAGGTTAAATATCACTAGGAGGTTTAGTGCTGACTGTGCCTGTATTGAGTATGGGTTTTTAGTCTTGCTTCATTTGGTGGGATTTTGCTGTTAACATGTAGTGCTGGGGAATTGGCATTGTGCAGTTTCTGATCTACTGATACTTTTGGTTTGGTTTAATAATTTGTATGAGTCCATTTTGAAATCGTCCAAATCATTCTCTTAAAGTTCATCTTTTTCATCATAAATGATTCACTTGCCCCAAAATGACCTAGCCCCATTGGGAAATCCCTATTCACTGGGCCTTTTGGTAGGCCCTAAAGGCGCCATATTATTGGAGTCTGAATTATGTGATTGAATAAATCCTTCTCTATCTATTACGGGTCAATGACAGCACACGATCTATTTGAACCAATGTCACTCAGTCGTATTTGAGGGATTCCTTGGTTCAGGCTAAAGAAACAATGTCGCCCGATCATTATCAAACTGACTGTAATGTTGAAGAGTTATAGTTTATTGCAATGGTGTTACAATTTCTAGAGACTCATGAGTCCTGACTAATTCGGATTGTATCTGGAATTTGTAGGTTATGTGCTTCCAAAGTTTGCTCAACTCACTGTGACATCTTATCATGCTGCCTCTAAGTGCCTCACATTATGGAATCTCTCGTCCCCGGACATATTGAAGATAACTACAATTCTCATAATCAGCAAGAGCGGACCAGATAATCATCTAGAGGGCACATAGAAGAAAGAGATGTTGCCCTTCACTATTATGTTTATTTTTTAAATAATGACCATGGGTTGGTAGGACTGTTCAAATTTTGGGCACTGTTCATTCTTTACCTTACCACCCTTCCATGTGAATATTGTATTTATTTGGTCTTTGTTGTTGTAATTTCCCATCCATTTGGTTTAGATGGGGAGCATGTGATCTTATAATGGGTAACCTTTTTTTGAAAGAGGCTGAGAAAGAGAACTAGTAAGATCACATGAATAGCTTGTAATGATTATTCATATCATTGGCCGGGTTCTAGAAAGCTTAAATACTGAGCCATCCATGGGACATTGATATGGTAACACGACAAAATTTCAAGTATATGTGTATCCATATACTTAAATGTATATGCTTCAGGACAGATTAAAACCTGAATTTCTTTTTTGTATTTCCATCTTCACCTGTTCTATTTCTCTACTTAGTTGCCAGCATCCTCCAATAGAGTTCACAATGGAATGGAAAAGAAATTCCCATATACGCATTTTTAGCTGCTAGAACAAAAGGGTGCTTGAATTAGTTTTTAGAAAATAACTTTCAAAAGAAAGTGATAAAAAAATTATTTTGAGAATGGATTTTGCAAAAATAAATGTTGTGAAAAAAGTGATTTTGGTTAGATGAGAATGTTTAGATGGTTGTTATCAAAATTACTTTTTTCATGTTCATAGCAAAACAGAAATAATATAGTAATTACATGAAGGACAAGTTTTAAGTTATATTTTTATTTAAAGTATTCTTTAAGTTCTAAATGTAAGGCCTATTTTATAGTATAAATTACACTATAAAATAGGTTTTATATTTACGAGGAGAGGAGTAATAAATTATTAAATAATATGTTTTTGTTTTGGCTACATAATAAATGATAGGTGAAAAAAATATAATTAATTAATGTGTATGTATATTTATAAAACATAAGATTAAATATATTTTTAAAAAAATGATACTTCCATCTTAAGATTTTAAACATCATGTGTCATTATATTTTTAGAAAAATTGAATAAACATAAGTAAGAATAATTTATTATTTATATAATTAATAATTAACATGTGTACATATATTAACAAAATAAAAAATTAAATATATTTTAATATTCCAAGTCATGGTTTTATATGTCTAAAAGAAAAAAAATTCATTTATGGAAAAACATCGTTTTATGTCCCTAAACCATCCTTTCCAATTCAAATGTAATTTTGCGTAAAAATTAAGGTTTAGGGTCTAGGGTCTAGGGGCTAGGGGCTAGGGGCTAGGGGCTAGGGGCTTGGGGCTTGGGGCTTGGGGCTTGGGGCTTGGGGCTTAGGGGCTAGGGTTTAGGGTTTAGGGGCTAGGGGCTAGGGGCTAGGGGCTAGGGGCTAGGTGCTTGGGGCTTGGGGGCTTGGGGCTTGGGGCTAGGGGCTAGGGGCTAAGGGTTTAGGGGCTAGGGTTTAGGGTTGGGTTTGGGGTTTGGGGTTTGGGGTTCGGGGTCGGGGTTCGGGGTTCGGGGCTCTGGGCTCTGGGCTCGGGTTTAGGGTCAGGGTTAGGGTTCAGGGTCAGAGTTCAGGGTCAAGGGTCAGGGTCAGGGTCAGGGTTAGGGTGAGGGCTTTAGGGCTTAGGGCTGAGGGCTTTAGGGTTTAGGGTTTTCGGGTTTCGGGTTGAGGGTTTGGGTTTGGGGTTTTAGGGTTTGGGGTTTTCGGTTTAGGGGTTTAGGGTTTAGGTGTGAGGGTTTCGGGTTTAGGGTTGAGGGTTCAGCGTTAAGGATTTAGGGTTTAGGGTCTGGGGTGTGGGGTCTTGGGTGTGGGGTTTGGGGTTTGGGGTTTGGGG